GCTAACATCCCTGCTAATCCTCCTCTTTTTGCTGAGGAAGACCGGCTCTGAGCTGACACCTATTGCCAATCCTCCTCCTTTTTTTTCCTCAAAGCCCCAGTAGATAGTTGTATGTCATAGTTGCACGTCCTTCTAGTTGCTGTATGTGGGACGCGGCCTCAGCATGGCTGGAGAAGCGGTGCCTTGGTGCGCACCCGGGATCCGAACCCGGGCCGCCAGTAGCGGAGCGCGCACGCTTAACCGCTAAGCCACGGGGCCAGCCCCTCCTCCTTTCTCCTCTTGTTCCTCAGTCATCCTGTTCTCCTCCCCAGAGCTGGTCAGTGTTTTTTACTTCTCCTTCTAGAGACATTCTCTGCATTTACTAGCATATCGCTTGAGTGTGTGTATGAACAGATGGGAGCATATACCACATTACCTGCACTTCCCTTTTTTCACTGAACAGCCTGTCTTTGAGATCATTCCCTATCTGTTCATTAATAACATTCTTGTTTTGTGTGTCTGCTTAATATTCTATGATGTAGATCAGGTGTCTGTAAACCATAGCCCTTGAGTCAAATCCAGGCTTATGCCTGTTTTTATATATCCCATGAGCTAAAAAGGGTTTTTACATTTTTAAATGGTTGAAAAAAAAATTAAAAGAAGAATAACATTTTGTGGCATGTGGAAATCATAGGAAATACAGTGTCCATAAATAAGGTTTTATTAGAACACAGCCATGCCCCTCTGTTTACATATTGTTTATGGCAGAGATTGCATGGCCCACTAAGCCTAAAATATTTATTATCTGGATTTTTACGAAAGAAAAGTTTGCTGGCCCCATTATATAGATGGAATATAGTGTATTTAATTAATTGATGGACATCTTTTGCTCTTATAATGCAACATTGAATAATCTGGTACATACAGTGTTTCACACATGTGTGAGTAGAAGAGGAGGATACATTTCTAGAAGTGGAATTGCTCATAAAGTTTTAAATTCCATGTGGCACATTTCCATTTCTCCTAATTCTGTTAGGTTGCATCAAGGGGAAAGGCAGGGGAAGATGGGGGAGAGTGGACAAAGGGATCTTTTTCTCCTCCTGGTGAAATGGTTTGTGGGACTGACAAAGTCAAGTTCCTGTTGCAAGGCCTTGAAAAGATGGTTTGGCTCATATCAGAGGGAGTCCTTTGTCCCTGCTTCTCTCCCATGTCCTCTGACCTTCCCTAAGTGGAGGGCAGAGCCATCTGCAAGCATCTGGGAGTCCTAGTGTCAGTTGTCTGGTTTCTCTTCCCATGATCCAAACGTATTTAAAGTGTAAATCTGAACCTGGGAAAGGAACAGAAGTAAAGGGCATCTTTTAATCACTTGTAAATTATTGTCCTCCCTCTCCACTTGCACATTGTTTGATTTAAGGTGATTTTTTCCTACAAGCTCAGAGAAATTGCTTCAGGAAACTGAGCATGTTAGGAGATCTAGCATTTGGCTCACATTGTCACTGTCTGCAATGACAGCCTCTGGAGGTCCTTTAGTTAATGGGGGTGAGAGTTTCAAAGATTCCTGAAAGTTGTTTGTGACAGTAATAGACTGACATCCAGATATTTGCCTTATTTTGTTTTCATCCTCTCGTTCAAGAGGGGAAATGGAAAAAATATAGGGTATAATTTTGTTGTCTCCTCCTCCTTTCTTTCTCCTGTTCCCCCTCTCTCTCTCTTTTTGTTTTCATTTTTAAGGCTAGTCCAAAAATACAGGTTATTTTAGCTGCTGCCCTGCACTTAGAAATTTGAAAAATTCTTTGGGTACCTGGGTAGATAACCATTGCTGAAATTTAAGATGATAAACTCATGTCCCTTCTTTCCCTTTGTTTCTCTCTCCCACTTTTTATCTCCCAATATTTTGAGCAGATTCATATTCAAAGGACCGGGGACCTTGGATAGTAAAACCAGTGGCCTCTTCTAGGGGGCGGGGCGTCTACCTGATCAACAATGTAAGTATGCGGCAGATGGCCACCTTTCTCCTTATGTGTTCTTCCCCGTTCACCCTTGGTCCTAGCTACTAATACAGTTCCTTTTCATTAAGAGCAGATGTTCCTTTCTGAAATCTGCATTCAGAAGTATGGGTTCAGGGTGGGTATGAGTTGGCTACTGTTCACCTTACTGGCAGTAACCTCCTCTCGTGCCAACAGTTACTCTATGGCTATAAAGTCACTTGATCAGATTTTAGGGAAGGGCAGGCTTTGGTGTCAGCAGAAAAGGTACCTCTTTTCAGCTTTCAGCATACTGTTATGTTAATTCCTCAGCACTAAGAATTGATTGGTAGCATACACATTTAGTTTCTATTATGAGCAGAACTGTGGGTTCCTGCCCTGAACGTCGTGAAGGAAATTAACCTTAATTTGGTATGGCATCCTTGCTGCTGCTTCTGCTCCTTCCTCCTTTCCTCCCATCCTCCTCCTCCTTCCCTGCCTCTCTTCCTTACTTCCGTCCTCCCTCCCTCCTCCTGCTTTTCCTTCTCATCCTCTTTTTTTCCCCAAAAGTCATCAGTATCTTGAATCTTTGCGAAATCCTCATTAAAAGGTGTTTTTAAATTGAATACATATACAGAGTGAATAAAATAAAATCTCAACTCTAGTCTCACCTTCTAGACTTACAACAGTAGTTAGTAACTTAATATGGTTGACTTACCTTTCTTTTTTTCTCAACTTTACATTGTATTTGTTAATTTCTAGTTTGATATTTATTTCGCACATATCACCTCCTATTCTCCCTTCCTCATTCCATCTCTAAATTTGGTTACTTTTTATTATTTTTTTATTTCAAAGGATTATAACATTTACATTCTCTTCGATAACGATGCTTCATTTTCTCTGCTTAAGAAGAGAAAAAAAAAAATTTAAACTCAATAGAAGCTTTATAGCATTGGAATTCTGAAATTTAACCAGTATGTAATTAAGCCTGGGTCTCTTTTCATTCTTCCTCTTGGACCTTTGGTTGGACCTTTCAATCTGGAAACTATTTTCCTTTAGTTCAGGGAAAATTATCCGTTTTTTTTGTCTTTGTTTCTGCTTTTAGAACTCCTTTTTGAGGCATTCTGGGTCTTCCTTCGTGTCAACTTTTCACTAATTTTTCTTTGTCTTCCCCATCTTTATCTTCTGGATCACCAGTTTGAGCTCTCATCTGTTTTATTATTCATTCTATCCTACTGTATTTCTTCTATATTGGCTTATCATAGTTTCCAGAAACTCTTATTTCTGATTTGCCTTTTTCTTTTTTTTTTTATGACAGCCTTTTGTTCCTTAATGGATACAGTTTGCCTGCTGGTCTTTCCGAGGATGCTTTCTGATGACCTTAGGTGTTGCGTTATATTCATGAACAAAAGACTAGACTGAAATTGGCAGCTGGCCTGGGTTTCCCCTGCTGTTGTGTAGGACTGTTTTGTTTCTCTAAGAGCTTCTCTCTGGATGAGAGGCTGAAGGTGGGTTTTGTGTAAGGGAAAAATATGGGTGACATTACCTTAGGTGGACATGGGTGAAGAGCATGCCCCTTCCTTCCCCCTCACTAAAATAGGGCAGGCCTTATTGTGAATACAGAGGAAGATTTTGGTAATTTCCCTCTTGGGAAGAGCTACCCTTCCTCTCCTTTCTTCTTTGTGTCTGTTGTAGGGATGGAGGGGCCTCAAGTTGATCTCTTCTCTCAGATCCCTATACCCACCCAAGATGTCCTCCTGAGGGTGTCATCATTAGGTTTTATCCCGAGGGCAAAAGCTTTGGGTGTGGAGAAGGCCCACTGGCCTCACTGTTGTAATTCTTGTTCCTTGGCCCACTCCTGCTCTTCATGTTTGTTCATTACCAGCTTGGAACTTCTCAGAGGGCTCCTTGAGAAGATCACTCTTACCTCAGATATTTGGGGCTGGGCCTTCCTCTGCTCTGTTTTCTCAACTTGATCCCATCTGCTTTCTATCTTTCAGAATTTCCTTATACTTTTGGTCTGTTCTTGTCTCCTTTACCTGTTTTCTAGACTTGTTATCATTTCGTTCTTTTAAAAATATCTTTTCTGTCCTTTTAGTGGGACTCGAAGGGAAGAGGGGAAGGTGGCTGTGTTGTGTGTGTGGTCAATACTCCATCTTAAATTCCCCAGTTCTCTTTTCACATGGTCTGAGCTATTTCCTGTATGTGCAGAAACTGACTTTCTGAGGGGTCTTTCATATTGGGAAATCCTTAAATTCAGTCTGGACTAGAAACTGTACAGTAAACACTGGCAGCCAGACCTTTTGTGCTGAAGAAACATAGGATCTAGTTCTGATACAGCAACTACTACAGCCCCAGGCTGCAAGTCCTGTTACCTGGCCCTGGGTCATGCTGGAGGCCTTTTAGCCTGGGTCTCATGTGACCCTGGCTATATGGGCTGTAAGGCCCTGGTCATATGCCTTGGAACTCTCTTTTCCTGTCTCTGTTCTGACCTTGGCGTGAAGGCTCCTGTCCGACAGCTTTTCCTTCAGTCCCGTGCCAGGAGCCCCCGTGTTGTTTGAATCTCATAGACGGCACTAGTTTGGGTTTGGGTTTCGGCTGCCAAATGGAATTGCTATTGAAAGTCAACTGTGGTACAAGTTTGCTTTTTATTTTCTTAGACATGAGTCAAAAAGAATAGGATCTATTCCCAACTCATCTGGGACTTTTTTCTCTTGGAATGCTCTTTTGCCCTAGTGATTTGTTATTTTAAACCCAACATCATAAAGAATAGAAAAGTTAAACTTTCCTTGGTGGGGCTGAGAACCCCGTGGGTGACAAGTCTTGAGAGAATGTGTTTGGCAGGCTCTCGTCCTCCCTCCCACCCCTCCCTGGGCTGAATCCCTTGAGACCCCCTGCATAGATCAAAGTACTTGGCAGGACCCTTTGCCTCCCCCTCCCCCTCAGTGAAGCTTTGGAATGAGTCTGATTCTTTGAGGTATTTGGTGAAGGTGCCAGACAGAAGCCTGGGAAGATGCCAGCAGGCACCGGGGGAGCTGGCAACATGTGGACATAATGGGAAAATATTCCCATTTCACTCCAACACTGGAATTTTATCACCTTTTACCCAGACCTACAAACCATGTAGTTAATCCTCTTCTCTCTCTCCTTACATACAGGCCTAACCATCCCCTCTTTTCCATACCTGGATCCTTTCCCATGGAATATGTGACCCATTAGCCAACGGGATGAAGTAACTCTTTCCAAGGCTGCTGCCTGCTTTCCTCTTAGATTGGAGGGGGACTGGGGGGAGTGCTCAGGCAAAGGGTCTATGAGCAGAACTAATATGAGTGGATGGGGTGTTGGGGGGGCGGAGTTAGGTGTGAGGCCAAATGAAAACATCTTTCCCTGTCTTCCCGCTGGAGTGAGAGGGCCTCTTATTAAAAATTCCCAATAACAGTCATAACCTTTTGGAAAATATCTGCAAATAGCAACTTTTACCATTACACGAACAGGATAAAGGATAGAAAAAAGCATTACTTTTATGTAATACTGAAGAGAGAAGTGTGAGCTCCTACAGATGGAAGCATCTCCGCCAGTTGGCTAACGGGGTCTCTTAATGATGTGCTCTTTAACTCTAGAAATACAGCGTAAAGGAACAGAGTTGTGTTTGCTCCAGCTCCTTCAGTAACCGTTGACTAAATGCCATATTTTCTCAATTTAGTATATTCAAATCAAGGAGGGGAAAGAGCTGCTGTTTTCTGATTAATGTATGAATTTGATTATGGAAGTCAAATTTAGTCATCCTTGCCTCACACATTATCCACGGTAAACACAATATTAGTAATTTCCCTGAGATTTTGAAGTATCAGGAGAGTATTTAGGTCACTCTAGTCATGCCTGTATTTGTGCATATAATTCTGTACAGCTCTCTTGTTCCTATATGTTTTTGTTTTGTTTTGTTTTTTTTGTTTTTGTGAAGAGATGAGCCCTGTGCTAACATCTGCCAATCCTCCTCTTTTTTGCCGAGGAAGACTGGCCCTGGGCTAACATCCGTGCCCGTCTTCCTCCACTTTATATGGGACGCCGCCACAGCATGGCCTGACAAGCAGTATGTCAGTGCGTGCCCGAGATCCGAACCGGCGAACTCCGGGCCGCCGCAGCAGAGCACGCACACTTAACTGCTTGTGCCACCCGGCCAGCCCCTCTATATGTTTATATGTTGTTTTATGTTTATGTTTATATCTTATGTGCTCTCTATTTTTTCCCATTGTTCAACAGATATTTAGGGAGCCCTTGCTGTGTGCTAGGTGCTGCCACTTCGTAAAAATAGAGACTTTCTCTTAATCCTTATGTATCTTCATTATAACTCAGTGCATTGCTCTGTGTAGAATGGCGGGTGGCATGCTGTGATGAATGCTGCTGAGTTGTGGAACTTAGTAAATAGAACCACATAGATGCTATTGGGTTGGCAGTAACAATAACAACTATTTCTTGAGCATTTAATATGTGCCTACCACTGTGCCTTCCAAATATAATCTCATTTAGTCTTCATAAGAACCCTATGAGGTGGTTCTGTTATTTCCTTAGTAAGTGGTAGAGTCGACTGTAACCCAGGTCTAGGTGATTCCAGAGCGTACACTCTTAACCACTGTACCATTCTCCCTTGCAGTAACTTAGCAGATACCATGAGCTTTAAAATGTTTTTAAAGTTAGAAAAATGTTTTAAAGTTAGAAAAAAGAATGTTTCCAACTTTCCCAATAATTCAGATTCTTGCTTTAGTATACTTTGGAGGGCAATTTGAGCTTGGAATTGAAATCATTTAAAATGATTTAATTGGGGATTGATGAAGAGGGAACAGGCATGAAGGTATCAAAAGGCTTTCATTAGTTACTTATCAGTATATCACATTACACAAATAAACTATATCCAAATCATTTTTTTCTTCTATGAGCTTACAGTCTAATTCCTAATGCAGATAGAAGTGAAAGGGACAGACTTTTGAGCAAATATTGAAGTTACTTAAATAATGTAAGAGATTATGTTATGCATCACTCAAAGGATAGATGTGTATGATGAGGAAGGGAAGGGAGGGAATGGGCATGGACACTAGATGTGTAATGCAGTGAAGACCATCATTAGTGTATTCTCTGGTTCAGAAGAAGGTTGGGTGGTCATATATCCATTGTAGCCTATTGGTGTTACTCAGTAGGAAGAGAACTGCGATGGGTAATTTTAGGTTTAGAACACAGCCTACAGCTTGCTGCTTTGTACTGTGCATCAGTTCTTAGACATTAAGCTGACTCAAAGTAGACAGTAGTTGTGAGAAACTGATCAAGAAACCTAAGGGAGTCAGGAAGTGGTGTGAGTGATTGAGTCCATGCGTATGAGTCAGTACTGATGTTGTGGTGTCCACATGGTGCGTAGAAGTGGGTTGTGACAGTTGTGTTCTGAGTTTGAGATCGCAACAGTGGGAAATGAGAGGGGAATCTCATTACTGTGACTCTGGAGTTGCTCGTTGTGGTTGTGTATAATATGCTGGGTCACAAAGTTATCCTTCTTCTGTGATAACTGCAGTATTTGGGATAGCAAATGCACGTTATAAAGACAGACTTTTGAATTTGGGGGACAATTATTTTAGGTCAGAACTTTAGGGAAAGTTGTGAGTAGTACTTAAGAGTTGAGCCTCTGAGGCAGACTGCCTGGATTCAGTGCTGCTCTGCCACTTATTAGCTGTGTGACTCTGAGCAAGTTCCTAACCCTCTCTGACTCCTTACTCATCTGTAATATTTGGATGATGATATACCTACCCCATGGGGTTGGGTGAGGATTAAATGAAATAATACTTGTGAAGAATTAGAACAGTGCTTGGCATGTAGCGAATGTTCAGTATGTTTATTAAATTTTATTTTTCTTTGCAAATGTTAATGGTTATTTCTGTTTCTGCTACTGTAGCTATTATCATCACAATAATTATTATGGCCACTTCCTCTTTTGGAGTTCTTTTGTCCTAGATAGATTGTGCTGACTTCCAGCTGATTTCTCTGTCTTAATCTAATCTCACATAGAGTTGTTCTATTCCAGGTATTTTAATCTTACTATTAACTTAATCAAGAATCCACAGTAATTTCTTGCTTCCCACCATGTTCAATCTAAACTTCCCTTGCCAAGGGTTCAGATCCCTTAGCCAGTGGGGTCCCTCCCTCCTAATAGCCTAACCGAACCTTTCATCATTTCCCAGTTCAATCTTTTAGTCCCAGGTCAGTGAATCTGCCTACTCTCCTTTCTCCTGGACTTTGTGCCATCTTCCCATGATGGCCTCCTTTCCTTCCCTCCATGTGCTTGATGGCTTTCAGCACTCACTTCTGTGCCTGCTCTTTCCAGACAAGCCTGCCCTGACTGGTCCCCTCTAACTGGTCTGCACTTCCGCTTTGCAGCCTCACATCTTGCACTGGCAGATATGGTGCTTTGTATTCTTTTAAATTATATATTTTGCTGTCCCTCTACCTAAATATTAAACGCTTTGGGAGTAGAGCTTCGGCTCTGCAAAGGCAAGAATTGTATCTATTTTCTTCATCACTGTATTCCCGGTGCCTTATACAGTATCCAACAATACTCATAATTATTTATCCTATAAATGACTCTTTTTTCATCGAGAAAATCTTTAAAAGATCTAGTTCGGTCTTTGCATACAGTTTTCTAAGCACCTTGATGAAAGTCTTCATTTAAGAATAATGGTAGTAGGGGCCGGCCCCGTGGCTTGGTGGTTAAGTGAGCGCGCTCCACTGCTGGCGACCTGGGTTCGGATCCCGGGCTCACACTGACGCGCTGCTTCTCCGGCCATGCTGAGGCCGCGTCCCACATACAGCAACTAGAGGATGTGCAGCTATGACACACAACTATCTACTGGGGCTTTGGGGGGAAAAATAAATAAAATAAAATCTTTAAAAAAAAAAAAAAAAGAGTAATGGTAGTATTTTAAAATTTCCATCATACTTTACATTTGGGAGAAAACAAGTTTTTATTTATGTTTTAAGTAGCTTTTATTTTCTTGGCATGTAACTATTTAACATCATGTATATAAATCTTTAAAGCTGTTTAGGCTGTATTTATTATGTGAGAGGTGCTGTGTAGATTTATTTTTTCCCCCATTGTAATTGGATACCCACAATGTTTATGAAAGTGGTGTGTTATGTGGCCAATTAAATATATGGGTGGCTCGGAGGAAAGTTTTTCTTAAGAGTTTTAGTTTTCTGTGTTATCATTTCTAAAAGGTTAAGAACTTTACTCCCTTATTGTAAGTTAGGATTTCTTTGTGTTTCTACGCTTTCATTCTTTCTCTTTACTCAATAGCCAAACCAGATTTCCCTGGAAGAGAACATCCTGGTCTCTCGTTACATCAGCAACCCCCTGCTCATAGATGGTGAGTTGTTAGGGCCTCGACTAGATTGGGCTGGATCTTGCCAAATTTTTTTGATGTTTTCGTAGTCTTCTCTAGTAAACCTTGCTTAAGCTGGTGTGAAATTATTGGTAACTGTGGCTCCAGAAATGATGCTGGTTCCTTACCTACCTCATAGGATTATTTTGAAGATAAAATGAGATAATAAAAAAGGACATGCTTTATAGGTTATACAATAACAAATATATACGAAATTGTCCAGTACATATATATATCATTTCTCTCTCATTATATATATGTATGTATATGTATGATTCTTTCTGTCTCATTTTATATTATTATATTTTATATTATTTATCCTCAAAAGGCAAGGTGTGTGGGCAGTCTGTGTTTTGTAGGAGAGGAGGACTGTTCTTTTTTTCATATTTGTTACATTGTCCTGTTCATTCTGTAACACAAAACAAATGCACTTAGTTTTTCCTGTGAATCCAAATTTTTTTCTAGATTTCAAATTTGATGTGCGCCTCTATGTGCTTGTGACTTCCTATGATCCTCTTGTCATCTATCTCTATGAAGAAGGATTGGCTAGGTAAGCGACTTTTTTAGGGGGGAGGGTGTTTATTAGAGTGGACCCATTAAAGAGTGTATTAAGATCAGGCGGTTTCTTTCTGTTATGTTCAACTCAGGAAAATAGAGTTTAGCAAGATAGTCTTCAGATTACAGAAATCAGTGTTATTAGTGTTATTACTTTACAGTCCCATTTGCATATCCACACATATGAACAAGCATGTGAATGTAAACATATGCCTTTCCCAGCAGGGATCCAGGATCACATCATATTTTCATGCAATGGCAATTGTTATGAAAACCCCAGGGTATTAAGATAATTTGCCGTGGTTCTTCACAACTGATCTAGAGAGAAAAAAAAATCCTACCTTTACTTCTTTGTTCTGTATCAGACATTTATTTTAATGCTCACAACCTTTTAGTTGATGCATTTTTGCAGTTGAGGAAACTGAGCTTTAGAGAGGTGAGGGAACTTGAAGTCAGTTTTCTGAGATCTCCCAGCTGGTTGGTAGTGGAGCGGGAATCTGAACTCATAGATCTGACTCCAGAGCTCCAGGCCGGAGCTGTTTCATGCCCTCTTGTATTTAGGAGACATTAGCTGCTTTATTTTATTTTATTTTTTTCACCTGCAAGTAATATACTTTGCACTGGTTATATATAGATTATTCTGTTTTTCTTGAGGTACTTTTTAGGTTTTAAGGTAATGTGACTGACTTACAAAATTAAGTTCAAGTTATAATAATTTAAAGTTTTCTTTCCCATAGCCACAGGATTTTACAGGTGACAGTGTTTTCACAGACTCTTTAAATTGTTTAAAATAAGTATATAACTTTGCTATGCTTGTCTTCTTTTCCCCCACAAAACTTATATATAGATATATATTTACCAACTAGCCTGCCCTGCAGTTTCTTTTATGCATAATGGCCTTAGAGAGCATAGCAGTTTAGGAGAGGTGGTTTGCATCTGTGAGCAGTCGTGACAAGCTCAAAAGCATAGTTTGTGTTTCTGTATTTTAGAAAATACACTTCAAAGACAGGAAATACCATGGATAAAAGAAGGCTACCTATTTAAGTATAGGTGCTTTGACACATATTATTGTACTCTGACAACTGTTATTTTAGAATTGTATTTTAATTATTTCATATACTCAAAATTTTTTGATTCACCCTGTGGCTGGAATCAGAGGGTGAGAGCAGGCTGAACCAATTCTAGCTGGCTGAACCATGTCTTCCCTTCACCTCTAGGTGGCAGTGACAGCATTTATAAGCCCTGTCATAGTCTTAGCTAAGATTTATGAGTTTGTGCCCTGGGAACACTGGAGGCTGCTGAAGCTCCCTAGTTCTGGCTTCCTGTTCCCTGAAAGTTGAGGAGGGGGAAAACGAAAACATTTCTCAGTTTTTAGGTAAAAGTCTGAACCAGGCATCTGGACACAAACTGACTACCAACACTGATCAGATTTTCATAGGAAAGAAGTTTTCTGTAGTGTTTGTGGACTTATGTGCTCTCATGCTTTGAAGTATAGAGGTAAAAACTGAGTCCCCATATTATCTAGAACAGAAGAAGGTGAAATATATCCCTTACTTCTGCTCAGGTATATAAGGTGCTGAGGATTTTCCATTTTGTAATTTGAGATGCCTCAGCTTTCCCTCTTGTGTATCATGATCCCTCCATCCTCCTCTTTCCACTCATCCTCACCCCAGCTTGTCTCCTGTACCCCTCTTGGGAACTAATTATGTCCTACCACAAATTGGACTTCTTAAATAGGGAAAAGATATCAAGGTTATGCTCACTGTTTCTCAAGGATATTATGCCAGTATATTTTGTATATTATTCCAAAGACATTTCACCCGCAATATTAGTAGCCCTCTCTATTGGTAAAGTTTGGCCTAGTTGTAAGACCTCAGTGGTTCAGATGTGAAATGAGAGCAATACCAATGTTTATTATGGAATTTACTGTACATACACAAGTTCTTTTGCTGGGTATGTGTTAGAAGTCAGAATCCACTAAATTGGGTAACTCTCTTCTTTTGCCTCCAGCAGCAACTGAGTATATATATTAAAAAAAAAAGAAGGGTGTTCTTTCTCAGAATAATTGGGAAGAAAGCTTTTTAAAAGCTCAGACCAAACTGAACCAAAAAATATGAATTTTCAGGGCTTTGGCTCGTTTTACCTAAAAGTATAGGAGCATATAAAAGCTTTTACAAAAGGACAGTACGTTATGACAGGCTGTTGGCCAGAGGCCTGCCAGGGTATGTTGCTCTGCACAATAACTCCCATGTGCCAGAGTTCCTGTGTCTTAGCTCACTGTGTATCCTGGCATTCATCTGCTTCTTTTTAATCCTCAGAATCTGCTTGACTGTGTCATTACATTCAACAATAGTCTATAGCATCTCCAGGTCTGCAGCCTCTACTAATCTTGGGTCACGTGTGTTTTATGTAGACATTACTGAAAATAATCAGTTTGGGATGAGATCACTAGGCCATTTTACTTTGAGGCTCAACAAGGAAAACCATAATCTTTCCTAAAGAGACAGAACTGGCAGCCAATATAATTGGTTTCCTTCTTTAGAAAAGAAGGGTCTTATCCCATATCACTTCTGTTTTGGGCTTCAAAATGAATGCTTAGGTGACAGCAAGATTGAGTTCATTTCACAATACAGTTTTGGGAAATGGGCATTTTGTGTAAATTCTTTACCTTCTTAAACTTACTAAAGAAAAAACCTAAATGGTTTTTATAATAATTTCAGTTGTCCTTGTTGTTTTATTCACATAAGAAGTAGGAAAACTTATTATTTTCTTATACATAGGAAAAATATTGAGATTTTTTTTTTTTAACTATCTTGTCTTTCTGGTATTTGGGTCCAGTGTTTTGCCCCATCCCACTTTTGAGTTTCACAGGTTTGTTGCTCTTTTGCACCAGCAGGGGACACTCACTTTCCAGAGAGGGGTGCCATTCGCTACCAAAATGGTGTGGGTTCTTTTTCCTGTCAGAGGTGGAATCCAAAAAGACTTTGTCCTGGATTTTACAGTTTTAGGTGGATCCAATATGTGGTCTAAATGATTTGACAAGGCCCTTTTTGAGACAAAGCTAATAGCCAAATTTTCACTGAAACAGGCAGAGTAAAAAGTTAAAAAAAATTAAGACAAAACTGAGTTGAAAACCAAATGTGTTGTCAGAGACCCAAAGATAGGTAGCGCTAGCAAGCTGGGGGAAATGAAAGTGCCTGTCCAGGGACCCGGGAGAATTCCCCCACGCGGTGGAGGAGGAGGAGAGGACACTGAGAAGGCCTGGTCGGGGACTGCCTTTTTTCTGCCTCAGCCATATTATTCAGTGGAAGTTCAGAAAAGACCCAACAGCATTTGTAATGCCTTTCCCTCCTCCCCACCCCCAGTTCCTTCTTCAGTAGCCCTCCTTGCTAATTAACACTGGCTCCGCAGGGATATTTACCTTTTCTCTGCTGGATTCCTGTGGTTTTGAAAGAATTCAGGTACTTGCTGGTTGCCAAGGAATTGAGATTACCTCACAGGCTGCACACTGTCCAGAATCTGCCACAGCAGCAAGAGGGGGAAGAGACACCAACAGGGGGGAGAAAGCCCTCTCCGGTGCTCAGTGTCACCCTCCCTGGCAGGCCCTCACTGTTTGTGAAGTTTGAGTCATTTCTGGCTCTAAGACAGGGGATCAGGCTGGTAATCCCCTCCCAGACGGCTCCGTGGGGCGCTGCCTCGTCACTGCGGCACTTTGGCAGTCTCCCGGCTGCAGCTGGTTGACAGCAGATCAGAGAGCTCGTGGGCCTCTTGTTCTCTTCCATGAGATTTTTCTGGGTCAGGCCAGGATGAAACCCAGTGGCTCCTGGCAAGGCTGCCTGAGGTGCTGTCTCTTCATCCTCCAGGCCTCTCTGGCTCTTAATAGCTACACCTGCTGAAAGATAACTCATGTGCCACAGCCAGGGTCTCAGGGCTGGCCTCCTCCTTCCTTTGTACATTTGTAGTGAATGTCTGTGAGAGTCTGTAACTATCAAAGGAGGGGGGTAAGTTCTGCATCTCAACTCTCTATGACTCTGTCGATGGTGTTGTGTTCTTAGAAGAACAAAATAATTTTTGAATGGGGGAAGAGAGTTTAAAAGATCCCGCTGACTCTGTGCTTCCCTTCCTGTTTTGGTTCCAAATTGGGAAAGTTTCTGGAACAAGCAACTCAGGTACAGTTTTAGTTAATGCTTATCAAGCACCTACTATGGGTCTGACATTGACATCCTTCTTTCACAAAGACACTTGAGTATTAAATTGTTAGCATTGTCTTGATTCTCAGTGAGAAGCAATAGAAAGCAGAGAGGAAGTGTAGCTTTGGATTTAAGAATTTATTGTCAGAATAAAGATAATTTGTATGTTTCAGTGTGGTTAGGGAAAAAAATGGGCATGTAGTTCTCTATTCATCAGTAGGCTGCGAAATAGTACCCAGGGTTGCAGATTTGGCACAGAAAGCAGAGCTCCCCCTCCTTTTTTCTGGCTTAAAGGTCGAGGCTATGAAATTCTGTCATGAGAGCTTTTCCTAAATCTTGATTTCATTAAGAGGGAGGTTCAGACTCAATTCATCATGTAAATTTCAGTATGTTAGGATAAGTATTTGCAAACTTGGTCCTGGGGTACCTAGTAGAGAATTACCTCTTTTAGGTTGTTGCTAATACAGAAACTGTGTTGAAGCTTTCAGACCTAAATAGAATGAAATTTGATATGTGAAGGTCTAAATCAACGGTCACAAACTTAAATTCTCACAAGGACATTCACTGAAGAAGTTGGCCAAGTGGACACTGGAGAACTGGAGACCACATGTCCCACCCAAAGGACATTTACTATTCAGTGCCAGCAAGTCATTGATATGTGTTGGTGCTGTGGTCAGAATGTTTATGTCCCCCCCCCAAAATTCATATGTTGAAATCCTAACCCCAAAGGGATGGTATTAGGAGATGGGGCCTTTGGGAGATGATTAGGTCATGAGGGTGGAGCCCTCATGCATGGGATTAGTGCTATTTTATAAAAGATGCCCCAGAGAGATTCCTCACCCCTTCCACCATGTGAGGCCACTGCAGGAAGGTGCCATCAATCTGCCTGCATCTTGATCTTGGACTTCCCAACCTCTAAGAACTGTGAGAAATAAATTGCTATTGTTTATAAGCTACCCAGTTTGTGGTATTTTGTTATAGCAGCCTGAATGGATTAAGACAGGTGGTATTACCAGATCTTCTGGTTTTGAAGGAAAACTGAAAAATCTAGATTTTTATTGAGAAACTTATTTTTCGTTTTTACACTTTTAATTTTGAAACTATTTCAAACTTATAGAAAGAATGTAAAAATAGCGTGAAGAGTTACCTTTTACCTTTTGTCTAGAGACCCCACACAAATTTTGCCAATTGTTCTAATACTGTTTTTTATGATGAAAGAGTCCAATCCAGGATACACGTTATAATTAGTTGTCTTGTCTCTTTAGTCTCCTTCGGTCTGGAACAGTTCCCTCAAGTCTTCCCTTGACTTTCATGATCTTAGCATTTTTGAAGATTAAGGGCCATTTTGTAGAACATCCCTCAATTTGGATTCGTCTGATATTTTCTCATGATTAGACCCAGGTCATGTATTTTTGGCCAGAATATCACAGAAGTGATGCTGTGTTCTCATTGCATTATATCTGATGACACATGATAACTTTTAATGGTGTTTGACCACTTGATTAAGGTGGCGTCTGCCAGATTTCTCTACTGTAAGTTACTTTGTTTTCCCATCTGTAATTAATAAGTATCTTATGAGGAGATACTTTTTGAGACCATGTAAAATCTCGTTTCTCATCTCATTTTCACCCAGGAATTTTAATATCCATTGATGTTTCTTGCCTGAATAAATTATTACTGTGATGCTTGCCAAATGATGGTTTTCTAATTTCATCATTTCTTTTACTTTTTTTATTTGGCATTTTACTCTAAGGAAGAGCTTTCTCTTCTTCCTGTTTATTTATTCATTTATTTATATATGACAACGTGGCCTCAAAGATTCCTATTTTATTTAATGGGTTATAATCCTTTACTATCATAATTTATTTTGATGCTCAAATTGTCCCAGATTTGGCCAATGGGAGCCCCTTTAAGTTCGCTTTTGTGTCCTTTTGACATGTCCACTCATTCTTTTGAGCACAACATGTTTCAGGCTTATCTTGTTCTTTCTCTGCCTCAGCCCTGGAATCAACCATTTTCTCCAAGGAGCGCTGATTGCTGTTAATGGAGAATAGTATTTAGAAATCAAGATCAGGTGCTAGGTATAGTCATTGCTCTGGGATGTCTCTGCTCTCAGGTCCTCACAGTGGACAGACCTACGAAATATATATATGTGTATACATACGTGTACCCATACATACACATTTACATTTATGTTTATTTCTATTTCTGTCTGTATATATTGAAAAGAAGGAATTTATACTAGTACCTCCAATTCTAGTTCGAAACTACAGGATTCATTCTAGCTTTTTCCATTTCCGTATTTTTTTATCTCTCTTCTCCAACAGAGAGATCTGACTCCCATTATCTTCAATATATTTATGTATTTACTCAGTTCCCTTCTATGTAGCCAATCTCCCGACCTCCTAGGCCATGCCCCACTCAGATGGCCTCCGTGTGTGGACTTTGACCCCTGTGGGGCCACCACCCTGCTTGGATAACCTCTTTGTACTGCCTCTGGACTGCCTTCCCATCCTGTCCGTCATCATCCTGTCCACATGGGCCCTGGCTGCCAATGGGCTGCAGGAAGGAGGGTCTGATTTTTTTTTTTTTTTTTTTTTTTTTTTTTTTTTTTTTTTTTTTTTTTTTAAATTTTTTTTTTTTTTTTTTTTTTTTTTTAAAGATTTTATTTATTCATTTTTTTTCCCCCCAAAGCCCCAGTAGATAGTTGTATGTCATAGGTTCACCTCCTTCTAGTTGCTGTACGTGGGTCTCGGCCTCACGTTGGACGGAGAAGTGGTGCCTTGGGGCGTGCCCAGGATCCGAACCCGGGCCGCCAGCATCAGAGCGCACGCACTTAACCGCTAAGCCACGGAGCCGGCCCAGGAGGGTCTGATTTTTAAATCTTTTTTTTTTTTTTGGAAGATTGGCCCTGCGCTAACATCTGTTGCCAATCTTCCTCTTTTTCTTTTTTCTCCCCAAAGCCCCAATACATAGTTGTATATCCTAGTTGTAGGTCCTGCTAGTTCTTCTATGTGGGACATCGCTTCAGCATGGTTTGATGAGCAGTGAGTAGGTCTGTGCCCAGGATCCGAACCAGCAAACCCCAGGCTGCCAAAGCTGAGCACACGAACTTAACCGCTGCATCACCAGGCCGGTCCCATAAGGTCTGATTTTTAAATGTTGGCCAAGTAATTCAAGTTTTTAAAAAAACACCTTTGTGGGTTAATCAGAACTTGATTATTAGGCCAGATCTGAGATTAATGGGACCTCTGGCCTAGACAATAAGAAGAAAATGTTGGGAAATAGTGGTCAGAGATGAATATGGTCTACTTGATATGGATTTTAGTGAGAAGCATAAGATCTTCCTGGGTTAGGGGAAAAGATGAACACACACATGTAACATTTATTCCATGTGGTCTCCTACGTTCCCCATTGAGCTAAGTGAAATAAAGAATGTAGTACTTTTGCCCTTTTAGGTAACTTTTCCATTGAGCTTAAGTTTTTTGTTTTTGTTTACTCTAATTCTTCCTTACTACTGCTTCGTATGCTTTGTAGAAGCCCACTTTGTGACATTAATCATCTTATCCTTGCTGAGGTTCAGAATATAAATGCCCCAGCGAAAAGGAAGAGTAGGAAGGAGAAAACATTTTTTAGAGATGCAGTCCTATTGAGAAAAGGAGTGTAGGAATGACAGATGTGTTGGGTACTAGGTTACAGTCAACTGCCAGGCTTTTGCCAGTCTTTTCATGTTGTTGACCAAATTAGATCAGGTACTCGTATTGAAAAGAGTTGAAAAACCTCTTTCTCTGAAGCAGAACCTTTTCCCTCCTTCTAAATCATTATTGTTTTGGGGGAGAGATGGCAGGAGGTATGTCACTGTGAGGTAATGTCTGGTTGAGGAAGGCAGCCCCTGTGGGGCCTACAAGGGCCCCCTTTGCATTTCACAAAAATTCAGAGAATGACTGTCTCCTGCTTGACTGGAGAATCTCTGTGGAAGGAAGATAGGGATGTATAGGCAAAGTTTACTCTCAGTGGAGTGACGTGGCTAGAAGTTAGGTGATAACTACTGGAAGTTTCTGGAAAATCTGAAGTCCTTCTCATGCAGGGACAAAATGCTCATCAAACTCTTGTCCCTTAGCCATACGTGCCTGGTCAACATTTTCTCTTTGTCCACATCCTTCTTCCTGGCCTCATGTTTGTTTATTTTACTTTTGGGGGCTTTTTGGGTTTTTTTTCACTTTTCTTTCGTTGTCTCTTGTGTATTTCTAGTACAGGGAATTAGGGAGCAGAGATAGTGGGTGGGTGAGAAGAAATAGAGAAGAGGAAAAATTTTAAATGCTGCCCTTTAATGTGGTAAAAATTCATGTTGACTTCATAGTCTGAGTAAGCATATGTAAATAATTTGTAAATCAGATGAAAATAAACTTGTGGCCTTCCAGGATTTTTTTTCACACACTTGGATGTGCCTCTTGGGAAAACCACTTTAATGAAGGGTGATACGGTTATACTGGTATGTAAACAGGGGTTGATATTTACCATAACCATTCGACTCGAGTGTCCTTTTGTGGATGTTGAGCATCACTGGAAAGTTTTCTCTTTCCCTGGTTACTTCCTTCAAAGGCACATATATTTTATACTTTGGTCTTCTTTTGACGATAGTCCAGGATATCAGATTGCGGCCCTGTATTCAGTGGGCTCCATGTTTAATCCCTCCGTCTTTTGCCTTCATTCCAAATTCAGGAATTGGTCTCCTGCATTATGCTCATATTTATGCTATTCTGCAGACCTAGGCTTTGTCTGCTATTAATTCTGCCATTATTATTTTCTTAAAATGAACTTTATAGGTCAGTGCTATTATTTCTATGGATGTGAGTTCTAAGTCTATATATTGTCATGCTGTCCTTCTTTCCTTTTTGTTTAGTATTTTCCTAGAATGCTCTAGTACCAAGTACTGTGTAGGCGCTCAGTAGGTGTTTCTTGACCAGCTAATGCCCCATCATCCACAGCACCCTACATATAGTTTCCCAGGTTGTGAATAACTCTATTTTCATTTTTCATCCTTTCTATCGTTTTAAGTTTCTATATAAAAGAGCAGCATCTTGTGGTTGAGAACATGGATTTTGGAGTCATTGTGATTTTGGGGCAAGTTACTTAATATTTCTAGGTCACATTTTAGTTTTCGTATCTATTTTGAAAATTAGATATAATATTACCTACTTTAGAGAATTGCTTTAAGGATTGAGTTAAATGCAATATAATATACAAAACACTTAGCATGGGGATTGACACTTATTAAACACTCAGTATTTGTTAATGATGTCACCCTCCCTTTATTAATATCTCATTAATCTTGGGTTATAGCCTGTATTCCCTTGAAAACCTGTTCCTGGTGTTTAACCTATGTCTTTTCTATCAGGTTTGCAACCGTGCGATATGATCAGGGAGCCAAGAACATTCGGAACCAGTTCATGCACCTGACAAACTACAGTGTGAACAAGAAGAGTGGAGACTATGTCAGGTACTGGCTGCACCTGAGCCAGGAGCCAGAGAAGTCAGTCTCAGATGCGGGTCTTGTACAAGTGGAAAGTCAACATGTTGCTCTGGAGGAAACTTTGTGTTTATACCGTGTAACTTACAGAGAGCTGTCAGAGTCATTTAATGTAGTTTTGGGGTATATCTGCTGCTGCTTCTCCATTGCTTGCCCAGTTAGAGTGTCAACTTGCTCTACCAAAATCTACCTTCCCAGGTTTCCTCTTCCTCATCGTCTTCCCTTACTTGACTTAGGGGTGGGAATTTAATAGGCATATGGAACTTTTTAGAAGTCAAGAAATGAGGTCATTTCAGCACTTGGCAAAATGTACCAAAAGCTTTAAAAATATTTGTACCCTGTGACCTGGCAATTCCATTTCTAGGAACTTAACCTTAAGAAATAATGAAGGATATACACAAAAGATCAGAGACAAGAATGTTCATCACTGTACATTGTCAGGTGGAAAAAGCATATTACCAGACACTACATGCCATTTAAATTTTTTTTTTTTTTAATATATAAGATAACTTAAGCTGTTTGTTTGCGCTGAAGGGGGAAAAAAAGAAAACTAGAAGGATATATACTAAAATGTTAGCAGTGCTTAACTATAGTGAATGGGATTATGGGTGGGTGATTTCTGTTTTCTTCTCTGCTTTTATGTATTTCTTAAATTTTTCTAAAATAAATACTTGTATGATTAGGGGGGAAAAAGTTAGGAATAAATTAAAGAAAGAAAGAAATGAGGCCATCTCAGACAAGGATTCAGTGGAAGGGAGTACCAGCCCAGCTGTGTGGAAATATTCTTTCTGCTCTGTTTTCTTTCATCCTGATAATTTTGCCAGAAAGTGGAAAAATAAAAAAGAAACCCAAACAGTTACTTTCTCCTCAGACTAAAAATAGGTGCCTAGAAGGTCCAAGGAAAGAAAGAAAGAAAGGAATCTGGAAGTGATGGCGTAGGTGCCAAAGCTGTATAGATTTCATTGAGTGTCCTGTGACTAATGTTTGGAATTGGTTGAAGATATCATATCCTTCACTTTGGAAAATGAGCAAAGATGCAGCTGGTGGGTGGTGGGGGTGGTGGTAAGGAATAGGGGGCAGCTGCAAACACAAGTTCCAGACTGCAAGACCCTCCCAACAGTCATGAAAGTCTGCCCCGTTTGCCACTTTGCTGCTGTGGTGGTGGTGTACTTCATCACTTTTATTGTCACTCTAGTGTGTTTTCCCTTCCATGATAACTCAAAAGTTATCAAAAAAAGCTGTGTCTACTGCTAGAGAGGAGGGAGCTTGCTTCAGGTGGTAAAGCAGTTCTGTGCTGGGTTAGTTCATTAAAATGCTACACTAGATTAGCTCACTAGCCCTTTCAGACTCAGTTCTGGTCATAAAATGACATCAGAGGTTGTTTTGTGGCCTCATGTGACATTTACCTCAAAGGCTAGGTTTGTATCCACAAACATTTCAATCTATTAATGTATTGTAACCATTCTTAAATTTGTTTATATTCTTTCACACATTTCTTTTACTCTTTCATGATGTGTAATTGTTCAGTTAAGGAAGAATTTGCCACCTTCTCCTTTAACCCCTGCCCCCCCAATAAGGCAAGCTATATACATTTTCATTTCAATGGAAGAAATTGGTGCAAAAGGGTATATGACAAAAAGGACCAAGAAAAAGTGGATGAGTGGAAGTCAGCAAAGGGAATGTTTTTCTAAGGACTTAAAAGGACAAAAAGGCTATTTGTAAAATATCTTATTTCCACAGCCAGGCCTACTTGCATATGTGACCTTGATCCATTAATTTGTTTTAGTTGTGATGACCCGGAAGTGGAGGATTATGGGAACAAATGGAGCATGAGTGCTATGCTGAGGTATCTGAAACAAGAAGGCAGAGATACAACTGGTGAGTACCGGGACTTGTTCCTTTTTGACTTCTGTTCTTCTTTGTGTAACTTTACTATTGTGTCACCAGGAGTTACTTTCTCTAATTCTAATAGGGTTGATGTCTAATGGGATCATTGTTCTTGGTGTTAATTTTTCCTGCCCTTTACAAGATGGAGAACAGGTTTTCCGTGACCCCTGAAATCCCTTTTCTTGTTCCTAGTTTGGAAGGCATAACTTTTTCCTTTAATCTTTAGTGAACTTATGCTTCTTGGATGTTGAACTGCTAACTAAAATACTGTCAGCTTTTTATATAACAAATTGTCTGTCTCCATAGTGGTCCTGAGTTCAGATTTTTCTAAGTTAATCTCTCATTCATTTTGCTGAATTGGAGAATGGGCAGTGTCAAGTTTGAGTACAGGGCTTGGAATCAAAATGGACACTGTAGTTGAGCCTTGAGCAGAATGGGTGACAGTGTGCCAAAAGGCCTCTCTCAGTCCACAAAAGCAAGGGTGAGAGGAGAGAAGAGAAGTACGGCTCCTTTTCCATTCTGTCTTTTGTCGTGAGAGGCCACTTGAGTACATCCCCCAGCACCTACATTCTAGATGTGTTGCCCTGTTCACAGATGTGTGTTCTCCTGGATCACCCATTCACAAGACTGCCACATAGACATTTTTGAGTGCGCACACATGCTTTATAATTACATTGTGTTCTGGAATCCAGTCCTTCTAATCCATGCATTATAGTGTTTCTTCCTTTTTTTTTTGTAGCGTTGATGGCCCATGTAGAAGACCTGATCATTAAGACTATAATCTCTGCTGAACTAGCTATTGCTACGGCCTGTAAAACCTTTGTTCCTCATCGCAGCAGTTGTTTTGGTAAGGAAACTCAAGAAGCTTAACATGTTTTGTGAAAAGGGCCTTGGGAAGTTGGGATGGCATCCTGGGGTAGGCAGGCTTAGTGATGCTACAGGAGTAAGGGGTATGTGGTGGACTTTTATTTCTTTCTAAGCTCACGTAGCATGTGAAGATCCTACTAAGAGGGCAGTGGTGAACTTAGCTGGAGGTCCCCTGAGGACTGACTAGCTTTCTGTGTGGGGAGCAGGTATTGGAACTAAAGCATGGGTCTCTGTCAGAGTGCAATCAGAAAAAGTCTGCAACGGACTGTACAGGAATCCAGCTCTAACAAATATATTCCAGAGCTCTTTGGCAGCCAGACTGGGAACTGTTCCAAGAAGCTCTGGCTGGTACCAGTATGTGCTTTCTCCCATTTTCTGATGACTCCTCCTTTTTGTTTTACTCTTCTTTCTAGTGGGTTCCTCCCCCTCCCCCTCTCCTTCTTTTTTCTCTTCCTTTTCCTCCTCCCCTCTCTTTCCCTCCCACCCCTAACTCTCTGACTGCACAGAGAAGGAGTAAGAAATAGTTCACAGCTACTGGATCAGGAAGCTTGTTGCCTCCTGACCCACCGGCTGTGACTGTAGCAGCAAGGGTGCCTGCCTACATTTGCTTTCTGTGTGGATGAGAACTCTTTAGCGATTGCCAATATGAGTGTCCCTGAAGTCACAGAGGCTTTCAGCAGGTGTTAGGCTTTGCTAGTAAAACGCACTAGGGTCATTGATGGGAGGATAATTCAAGTAACACGGTAGTAAGGATATAAGAGTCATGGCTTGCTTAGGAGTCAGGGGAACAGGAAAGTAAAGAACATGGGCTTTAGATCCTGACAGACTTAGTTTGATACTCATTTGCACCCCTTACTAGTTTTCTGATTTTCAGCAAGGCACTCTAATCCTATTTCCTCCACTATAAAATGGCAGTAATGATGGTACCCGCCCACTAAGAGTACCATGAACATCAAATGAGATAATGCATGCAAGGCGCTTGGCACAGTGTCTGGCCCTTCATTTGTACTCAATAAAAATTATTTTTTTGTTATTTTTATAATTAGACATTATAGTTCTTGATCTCTTTAATGGATTATCATAACAGTCTGTACTTGAGGTACACTAAACAGGGAAGCATTGAGACTCTGAAAAGAAGATGGTAGATACACGAGAACCTAAAATTATATGGGAAAAGAAGAGGTTGTAATATCTTTTTTTTTTTTTTTTTTGGTGAGGAAGATTTGCCCTGAGCTAACGTCTGTTGCCAATCTTCCTCTTTTTTTGCTTGAGATTAGCCCCAAGCTAACGTCCGTGCCAGTCTTTCTCTATTTTGTATGTGGGTTGCTGCCACAGCGTGGCTGACTTGTTGTATATGTCTGCGCCCACTATCTGAACTCGCGAACCTGGGCCGCCAAAGCGGTGTGCAGAACCCAAACACTAGGCCACGAGGCTGGCCCCTGTAATCTCCTTTTTAAGTGCAAATATGTTCATGGCTTCTAAAACCCTTAAATGGCTCCTTAGGCTTTTTAGTAAATAGAAACTGGATATGAGTTCAAGCCTTCTAAGGATCTGACCCCAGCTGACTTTTCTAGAGTTCCATTTCCCCTCTTACATCTTATAATCCAACTATACCACTGAGCACTCCATGCCTTTGTGCCGCTGTTGAAGTTCTGCTATCTAGGAAACTCTCCCGTCTGCCTTGCACACTCCTGTTGATGCTCTGAGAGCTAGCTTGACACTGCCTCTTCCAGGAATCCTTGCCTCACCAAGTGCCCTGTTGTGTCTCCTCTCTCAGGCTGTTCTGTACTTGTTCCATTGTATTCTCTTCCTATCGTGCTGGGATGTTGTGTTTCCACATATACTTCCCTAGTAATCTCTGAGCTTATCTTTTTGAATTCTTAGTGATCACTGTGTCTCTCTTTCCCCTCTTACCCTATTTTTGCCAAACCAGACCTTTCACCATCACCCTGGCCCTCCCAGGTCCTTTCCTTTGCCTTCGTACCTGCTTTATCCCGTGTCTGAAATACCTTTCTCATGTTACTTTACCTAACAGATTACTGACATCTTTTCAAAACAAAGTCAAGTATCACTTCTTTGGTGAAGTTTTTCCTAAGTCTCCCAGCTGGAGTTAGCCTCCATCCCCACCCCAGCACTCCGCTCATAATCTGCAGTGGTACCTGCATGTCATCCGGTACCCGTTTATGTGTCTGTCTCCCCACTGGACTGGAAACTCCTTGAGGACAGCGACAATGTCTCACTCGTTTCTGCCTCTTCCGTGCACAGCAGCATTTTTTGCTATTAGAGGAGGTTCAGGAAATGTTGCTGAATGAATGACTGGTACTTGCTTTAATTGCCTTTTGATGGCCTGGCGGTTCGCTTCCCGGTGGATCTGGTTTGATAAGGGCCTAGAACTCTTAGAATTATTGCAAACTGAGGAGCGGGCACGGGCAATATAACTCCAACTTCAAAAACCTTATTAGATTAAAAAAATAAATGAAAGTTTCTTTTCCACATTGACTTGGCTCTTATATGAGGTAAATTTCTGGTAGCTTTTAGTGTAAAAATCTTTGTTCTAGAAACCATCACAAGCTTTTCTGAATGTTTCCTTCTCTATTTTGTTTTGTTACCTGATTGCCTTTTGGAAGCTTAAGAATTTCTTGAACTTAATGGCAACAGAAGTTCCAATGTGAAATAACCAGTGACTTTCCCTGACTCAGTGAAACACCCACTAAGTCCATTTTATCAGCCTTGGGTCTCCTTTCCCCCTCTCTTTTTATGTTCAGTTTTAATAAACTGAGTGCATCTGGAGTTTTTTAAGTTGTTGACTGTCTTCTTGGCTTTTGTGGTTCTAATTCCACATCCTGTCAACCCTGGGATTTTGTGTGCTTCATTAACCTCCCCTCTTCAGATATGATTTTGTATACGTGTGTATATTTCTGTGAATCTCTTTTCCTCCCACTGATTCCTAACCTCCCCTGGGGTTTAAGTTAACGGAATAAGCTGGGTTTTTTCTTTTCTTTTCTTTTTCATTTGTTTTAGGGTAAACAGGAATTGAGAGATTCCCAGAAGAATTTGGCTTGAACAGAGCATTGGTGCTTTTAGAGGAAGCCAATAGTCCAGTGAGGGGGTTCACTTTATTGGTTGTTGTTTCTGCCTTTCCATGTTGTGGATCTTTGCCAGGAGCATTCCGTTACTATCTAAGTGTTTCTGTCCTATGATTTCTTTCCCACCCTACCATCTGTAATGTCCAACTATGTTTCCAGGTACCTTCAGTATTCCCATTCATTTGTTTACTTATGCATTTAACTTTTTTCAGTTCCTGCTGTATGCAAAGCATAGACTATATGAGTTTGTTCCTCTTAAGCTAAATTTTACATGGGATGATATATACATATACCTGCATTGTATTATTAGCATTTAAATGTAGACTTAGGAACCTTCACAAACTATCTGAAACTTCGCTGTTTAATGCTTTTTCATAGATTTGTACATTGGGAAAGGACCTCAGAGAATAATTAGTTTGGATAAAAAAATTGAGACCCTGAGAAATTAGGACTTTTGCCCCAAGTTCTAGAGCTAGTGAGTGAGAGAACTCAGAGGAAAGAGACTCAGCTTGGAGAAAAGGGGTCAGAAGATGCGTTTTGGCAAGCAAGTCATCTTGATCATAGGACTCTTGATTTATAGAATTTTTGATGCCTTTCCCAATAAAACAGATTTTTGACAGTCTAATTTTCACTGCCTTCAAGTTTGTGAAAATGTGATGTCATGTGAAGTATATGCTTAAACAGCAACCCTTTAAATATGCTTAGGAAATTGGCACTGTGAGATAACTGGCTGTGAGAACAGCTTTTTTGACTAGTTGGAGAAAAACAGCCAAAAACAACAGGATGTTAGCTGTCCTTTAAAGATGCTGCTGCTGACAGGGATTTTATCTGTGTGTATGAGGATGGCTGAAGTGACAGGCCATGACGCTGGTCCTCTCCAGCCTGGGATCATATGAACCAGCTGTCATGCCCCTTGTAAAATTGATGAGGCTGGCCTTGTTTAGGGCAGAGACCAGTGACATCTTTGCTCAGGACAAACACCTCTTCTTGTTGAATGTATGCTGGTTTGGCCTTTTATTGATATTGATTTAGACCATTTCACAGGGTAGGCTGACGTTCTTAGAGGGAGGATGTCCATGAAGATTTGTTGAAGGAATGAAAGCAGGCAGCATACATTCTCTAATAATGTGAACCCCTTGACCAACAAAAAATAATGCAAGTCATCCAGCAGTTCACTTTTTGAGCTAGTGTCCTTTTCTGGTTTATCCTGTGGTCCTCTTTGGATGGGAAGAGAAGTTTATTTTAGAAGGGACTTAGTAGAAAGTACCTACTGTTTATCAAACACTCTTCATTGGTTATTTCCTTTAGTCCTCTTAACAGTTTTGTTGGTATTTATTACTCATGTTTTATAGACAAGGAAAAAGATCAGAGAGGTTAAATAATTTGTCCTAGGTCATGCAGTTAATAAATGACAAAGCCAAGATTGAGAGCCAGGTCTCTCTGGCTCTTTTTCCACCCACATAAAGACAAGTTCTGATGTACCCGGCCACTGTTGGCGTGCCGTGTATCCTGGATTCTCCTTCTGCTCTCCTGTAACTGGATCTCAGGAAAAATATCATCTTTTCTAGCAGATCACCCCTGAAAAAGTGATCTTTCTGCTCTAATCAATAGTACGTAGTCCTAGATACTCTTTCAAATCTACCTTTACATATGGTAGCCAGATACCCATAGATTTATTGGACTTGTTAACAAATTGGCTCTGGGCTTTTTCTTGTATTTAGTTCATTTTCCTGTGGGATCTTGATCTGCTTTTTTCTAAATTCTCCTCCTGGACCCCAGATAAAGACTTCTTCCTTAGGTTTTCAACTCAAATCCAAAGCCAAGGTGAAAAAGAATTTCCTTTATATAATAGCATTTGAATGACAGTGAGTACTAGCTAATGTCAGTGCTTTCC